TAAAAAATCTGGTCCCCATCCTCCTGAATCTGACTCCAGATCTCCTCACACCTGATATTTAATGTCTGGCTGTTTAATTTAACTGGTGGCTCCATTCAAGTCGCACATTTAGTGGCATCTGGGTGCCTTGCTGAATGCATTCTCATCTCCTTCTGTCATCTTGTTTCTCTTACTTGAATCCCATTCAGACATATCACCAGGGTGAATCTGAAAACCTACCAGCACAAACATAGAAAACAAGGCAGAAAGAGTGAACAATGTCTTCTTAGGGTGACTAAAACCCTTCAGCTGCCTTCTATGCCTTCTCAACTCACAAGCACTATTCCAGTTTGCTAGTGTCTCCTAAATAGTTAGATATTTGGGGACCAGCTCACTTTATTTTAATTTTTGGTCTGTATTGTTATGTTTGCTTAGTACACTGTCTTCATGTAAAGCACATTTAATTCCATAACTAATTTTTTAATATAGAGAAAACATGTTTTGTCTTTTCTTCATGAAGCACAGAATAACCAGCTGCATTCAGACATTAGCTTCATTTTCTCCCTAATCAGATTTATGTTGTAACATATAAGAAGAGAAATAAGAGAAACTTACTGAGACAGAGCTATCTTTATAAACTCTATGGACTTGCCTTTCCCTAATTCCCAATTTCAAAAAAAAGATAATATAAAGCTTCATGCTGGCAAGTTAATCACAGTCAGGGAGAGAATGAGCTCAACTGTGTATGTAAAAACTTAGTTGTTTTTCTTTGATTCATCTGATAGCATCACACTGGGTCAGTTTCTTGTTTATGCTATCTTTATTGTTTCTGGTCTTAGAACAATAAACATCCTTAAGTGGTTTCAATTACAGCAGCAAAACTGTGCAAATGAACTTTGGCTTTGTTTCATACTGAATAGAGGGTTTTTATGATTTTATAAATGGTGATGATGTTTAGGAATCTTGCCAAACCTATTCTATAAACAGTGAAGAGTCACATTTTCCAATGCCAAGCCTTTAATTACCCAAATATCTTTCCCTTGATATGGATAAAATATTTTAACCTTGTTCCATGGAGATGGATATGAATGATCACATTATCTGTAGATTCAGCAACAATTTGCATAAACAAAATATTGGGATGTTTTCTCTGGTAATGTATCCATAAGCCAATGCCTGATCTTTTTGTATGTCTTTCTTAATTGCAGAAAAGTATTAGCTGGGAGTTACTCATTTTTAACAAATTTAACACCCAGTGATATCAGCAACAATAAATTATCTTATGCTGTGTTAAAACACACACACATTCCAAGTAAGTGGTTTCACAAAATAAAGTTTATACATAAAAGTACATAGTGAAGGAGCTCTCCTACGTCATGTTTCCACAGTCACCTGGACAGAAAACAATTTTGGACATTCCTACATGAACAACTGAACACCCCAGAGCTAGTAACACAGAAGGCATCTGGGAAATTCATTCTTTCATTTGCCATACAGCATGGCATAGTAAGACACTGGTTCGTTACAGAACAAACTTACAGAATGTTCTGGGTGCCATCATTTACTAATAAATGTGTTAATTAGCGTGATGGGGCTGACATAACAGAATACTACAGTCTGGGTGGCTTAAACAACAGAAATTTATTATCACAGTCCTGGAAGTTAGAAGCCCAAGATCACAGTGCCAGCAATTTTGGTTTCTCCTCTGAGCTCTCTTCTTGGCTTCCAAATGACTGTCTTATCGCGTCCTTACATGGCCTTTCTCTGTGCACACAAATGCTTTGTGTCTCTTTTGCTTTTTTCTTTCTTTTCTTTTTTTAGAGGTCATCTATATAGCCCTGGCTGGCCTTGCACTTGCCATCCTCATTGCTTCCACCTTCTCCCTGGTGTCTTTTTCTTCTTACAAGGGTGTCAGTTGTACTGGATTCAGGCCCACCCTTAGGACTTCATTTAACCGTAATTACCTCTTTGATGTCCATATCTCCAAATGTGCTTACCTTCTAAGGAACAGGGAGTTTGGGTTTCAAATCATGAATTTTTGGGGGAGCACAATTTAACCCATAACAGTGAGTGAACTTTACAACTCCATCAATGCATCTTTGCACTTCATATTTACACATCAAATGTAATTTGCAACCAAAAGGAAGACTTAATAATATAATGAATAATATTGTGATTTAATAATATTGTGACTTAATAATATTGTGAATCCTAATTGTAGATTTTAAAGTCTCAAATATGAGAAAATTTCCAAAGTACAGAAAAAAAATCTGAATTCAAGTTTATTTGGGGACTTTAGTTTCTCCTACATCAAGTAGGAAATTTAGAACATTGCCTATATTGCTCAAACTAGCTGTTTCAAATTTTTGCAGAGTATGCTGTCTTGATTATCTTTAAATATTATTAAAAAGAGAAAAATTCCAACTAAAAATATTTAATATTAAAAATTAAAATTACTCTAACTGAAGAAATTATGTTAATATAATTATTTCCTTTTGGAAGATCATTGCTTGTTATTCATTTGACCTGTTGCTTAGAATCTTGATTCAGCAGAATTAGAAAAACTCTATATTTGTGCTTATCATTCTAAAAACGTAGTTTTGTGGATCAAACCTATGTTGCACTTTTAACTCTAAAGACACAACAATTCCTAAATTTTTGTGTATCTTTCTTCTAACAAGTTAACCTTACCAAGCTTCAGTCTCATTATGTATATAAAAAAGGTAATAGGACTGACTTTTCACCTTTAACAGAGGGTAATATTTGAAAGTGGGTTGTAAGTAGACAGTCATATAAAATAAAAGCCAACGTTGGAAGATAGCTATCACTAATATATAAAAATGAAGTTTTATGAGGGACTGGCAGGGATAGCGAACTATCAATAGAAAAAGGTTGTTAATTTTTGTAACATTCATTTGTACTCTTCTCTGCTGTGGATACATAAACAAATTCAATAATTTAATTTGGATTCCTTTCATTGGATCCTTTATTGAATCATAGAGCTATATTTCAACTAATACAAATCACAGAAGTCAACTTAATACAGCGGTTAGTGCTGTTCACATTAAAGCTAATCAATTTAAAACATACAGTATATGTGCCGAGACTGCATTACCTAAAAAGAAATACTTTTTCTAGCTGCACAGATGTTTCTGTTGACAAAGCAATATTTTCAATAGAAATCCTAAAGGAATATTAGATGCTATTTAAGAAATGGAAAGTGTTAGTATAGTAAGATGCAAGATTACGGGACAGTTTAGCTTTTTGAACTGAGATGGTACAAAAGATATAAATTTGAGGTTTGTGTGGTGGTTTATATTTTATTAATATTATTACCATTAAAAGTAATTAATTACATAATCGATATTAACAAATAATATATAAAGCATTATATTTTTAACACTTTTAAGAACATTCTGTTTTCTGCAAAGATTGAGTGGCAATTATTCATGATGAACAACCGAAACGACATTTATTTGACATTATTTTGAAAGCCTGTTTCAATTCCTTGCAAGAAACACTTATTCTTTGTAACTGTCCATCGGTCTGGCTTTTTAAACTTCTGAAATCAAGAACTAGGATTTCCTTTATCCCCCTCAGTTCATTCTCAGGGATCCATTGTCTTTTGTTCTCTTGGACACAGGACACATTTCCTCTACTCTGGGTCTCCCCAGTCAGTGTCTCCGCACATTTCATTGCCTCTTAGCGTGCTCTGAAGCCCACAGGTCGCCCTGTCAACAGTTTCTCCTCAGTGTCCAGAACCCTTCCTCCTCCTACCCATTTATTTCACACTAGAAACAATGTATTTCATCACCTGCTTTCCCATATTAACCCAAAGGCATCTAAAAAGAACAAAGTGACTCATTTTACCTCTTGCAATCTAAATTTTAAATTCTTGCAATCTAAACATCTCTAAATGATAAATATCTTTTATTTTCATCAAAATTCAAAACTAGTTTACTCATAAGAATTCTTCTCTGCTGAAAAATATTTTAGAGTATACATGAAAATGACTCCAAATTTCAGTATCCAGAGGGAATTAGTGCTTTTGTTAATGTCTTTTATAGTGTTTCTCTCTTCTCTCTTCAGTCTTTCTTTTTTTAAAAAAAGTGTTAAAATGGCTGGGGATTTAGCTCAGTGGTTCCACCACCTGCCTTGCAAGTGCAAGAACCCTAGTTCGATCCCCTGTACCAAAAAAAAAAGTATTAAAGTCAAATCTGTCAAACTTTTCCTTTAACTTTGGTCTTTATTTCACACTTACAAAGAACCACCCTCCTAAAGAATTATTAAAATAGTCACCACTTTTATTTCCTCCATTTTTGTAATTTCAGTTCTTTTACACCAAAGTTAACATTAAGGTTTTGCAGAAAACAGAACCAATGGATACATATCTATGAATAAAATGAGATTTACTATAAGTAATTGGTCCTTGCAATTACAGAGGCTGAAAAGTCCCACAATCTGCCATCTATAAGCTAGATTCCTAGGGAGGCCCTTTAATCCCTATAAAAATCCATTTTACGTTGAAAAAAAATCACCTGCAATTATTGACATGTGAGATAAGGAAAGGCTTGCTCTGCTCTACTTTTCAAGATTAGACGTGTTTTTAACAATTATAAAATTTTATTAATTTTACAAGGTTTATACAAAATCACATATTGAAAATACAACCTTTCTTCGACTGATCCTTAATATCCTCTTCATCAGTTTTTTTCTATCTATTCAAAACTGTTATGGAATATTCATTCTGATCCACTTATCACTCCATCAGGACATGTTGCAAGCCATAATGCTTTAATTATTAAAGTATGTTATATAGCTTTTAGTATTTAATCAAACACATGTTCCCTGATTATTACTTTTGCAAACCAGCTTGTTTTTTAAATTTTTATTTATTTTATTCTGGACTTGCAAGAGTGGTTGTCCAGTTTTTTTCATCCTTCAAATATTCTATCATTCAACTTTTCTCATTCTCAGAAAACATAGTCACTTCAGTATACCAAAAATGTGGAAGTTGTTTACCTTGCAATCTTTTAAATTCCATGGTTCCCCTCAGGTATCTCTAAATCCTTACTGTATCAGTCAGTGCTTACTAGAGAAACAGAGAAACAGATTTAAAGCAAAATATACAAATATATAAGCATTTACGAGATTGGCTTACAATGGCCGCCCACAGAGTCAGGTGTGAAAAGTGCAAAAGGGCTGTCTGCACACTGGAGATCCAAAGGATCCAGTCAAAGGCTTGGAGCTCAATGCAGTGCCCCATGGGAGTCCCTATCAGGAGGCCTAAGGCTCTGCTCCAGGGCCTGAAGGGTCTGTGCTGGAAGCCCGAGTCAACATCCAAGGTGGAGGCAAAGACTGGAGCTCCTCCAAAGACACACAAGCAGCCTTCCTGTTTCATTTCCCTCTTATACCATTCTGGAGACAATCCTCTCTAGAGTGGGTCTTCCATACCCAGAACTATGTTGAGTCAATTTAGTTGGGCAGTTCTTATTCAAATTGACACAATCAGTTAACTATCACACTTACCCGATTCTTTCTGCCTCTTCTTCAAGAAGCAAGAATATTTTCTTCTTTCCAAGATTAATTTCACCACCTTATCTGTAGTTTTATTCTTCTATTTAGAAAATCATGCTCCTTCTGAAACATGTCCTGTCTTTAAAAAAAAAATGAAACTTTAAATTTGAATTTCTCCTTTGTTTCAGCTAAAATTTATTTACTCTAAAACTTCCCTAACTTTAATCGACATATTTTTCTCTGATGACATTTTGGCCTTGCAGTCTCCCCTTGACCTTCTGACAGTGCATTGATATTGTTCTCTGGTACCATTTCCTGTGCTTCCCATATATCTATATAACTCTATGATGTTCTATCCTTGGTACTCTTTCACGTTTAATTTCTATACTTGCTCCCTGTAGAGTCTCAACTACACCTGCAATTTAAATTAAGCTTAAATTTAAATTAAATTAAAATTTAAGTATCCTTTCTCTTTTACTACTTCTAACTCCCACTAAATGTTCAACAAAAGCACTGACTGTATCAAAGTGGCCATTCCATTGGCCTCCCATTCCGTCATCTAAAACATATTCTTTTCCTACATTAAGCTCCAATATCATTTTATATCTCTCTCACTGCACTTACAGTCAGACCTGTAATTATTTTTGTATTTTTTTCTCTAGTAGATTATAAAATCCATGAGGTCAAGTGTGTGTTTTTGTGTCACACATATCTGGTTAGTCATAGTATGTAGTTAAATCTGTAAAAATTAGGCAACAGTTTAAATTTGCACTTTCATAAATAAGTTCATTAAAAAGTTTATGAACTATACTTGCCAAGTTTTAAATATTTCAATAAAATTTATCTTACTTCATATAATTCCATTAAACCAGACTGATAAAAGTAGAATTACAGATAAAACTTATTTAATTAGGTAAAATAATCTGTGTTGAGGGGAAATATTTATGCTACAAAAATATTAAGAAGAGATCTGTATCATTTTCCCATTGCTGCTATAATATGTTACTACAAACTTAATGGCTTAAAGCCACTGAATTTATCATCTTTTAACTCTAGAGGTAAAGTGTCCAAAGCTAGCTTCAATGAGCTAAAATCAAGGTGTTGGTAGGACTAGTTCCTTCTGGAGTCTCAAGGAAATACATCAGCTTCTTTACTCCTCCCAGCCTGTAGAGGCTACCTACATTGTGGGGGAGGGGGGTTCTGGCTCCTCCTTTCTCCAAATTCAGTAGAATAACATTTTGCCTCTTTTCTAACTTTTATTGCTCTGAGAGTCTACATTCTTCATCTGAACTAAAACTTGTTTTAAATACAGAAAGAAGGCAGTAGTGTTCTCAGAAACAAAAATGGTAAAGGAACCCTACCATGTCCTTTCTTAGTTACTTCCCCGTGTTAATCAAATGACAAATGAAAAATGATGACAAAGAAGGAACTGGAAAGGTAGGGCAACCACAAGTACTTCTTCCAATCCTTCCTCACTCTTCCATAAGCCAAAAGCAGAGAATGTTGATAGAACATGTGCATATCAAAAAGTGATATGAAAACAGTTGAATTAGTTTCAGGTAGCATTTCTTCTGTCCTGGTAGTACCAAGCATGCGTGAGCTATGAACTATGAATTGCACAATTTTGGTGATTCTAAGTAAGAATTAAGATGTCTTAAATTTCTATTAATACTGGTATTCCATGCCATAAAAGTGGATAATAAAATTCATTCAAATGATTTAAAATTTTAATATTTTTAAACCTCAATGACATTAAATAAAAATTTTAATAGGTCAGAGAAAAATCTGAAATGAAAAAAAAAGCTTTATATTTTAGTACCTTTAGCAAGACTCTGCTGCTCTTTGAGCAAGTGGCCTTCCATTTTCATTTTGGAGTAGGTCCTGAAAATTGCATTAAGGCCCTGCACACCTACGAGCTGATTGGCTTCAACATAAGATAATTGGAACAGAATTGGGTTGTATTAAGATCAAAACCTTAGGGGAATTCAATTACATTTTTGCTGTCTTTTCCTGCAGACAACTTAGTTCTAAATATTCACTGCATCATGCAAGTCTCAAAGCTTTCTTTGTTATGCCAGGACTTAAAACTCTAGATAATTCATCTCTTTCTATACATAGAAATTTATGTCCTCTATTCCTCATGTTACCTGGACTCCATAACCTTTGATTACTTATTACAAGGCTGTAGATTACCTTCTCTCCTATTAAAATAAGAGGCTGGTATGTGCAGCATACTGAGTGAGCCCTGTGTGCAAATGCATGAATAAATCCTCTATGGCCTTAATTATAGGCCATGTTGAATTTAACTCCAACAGATGTTCCCTATGAAAATGTGATAGTACAATTATTTTAATGGAAATATTGAAATTCAAACATTTTCTTGATAGAAATTGTAAACTCCTAAAAGCTGATCACAGCTTATAAGCTTGTGGTGCATTAGTGGAGCTATTTTTAATGTAGGTGGAGTGATATATGGATTTACTTCTGAGTGAAACAACGTGTTACCTTCTATTTCAAATCAGTGCTTCAAACAAGGTTCTCTTAGAGCCCAGAAGATCTTCACGGTTGCATCAAGGATTAACAACAGATAGAAGACGATCCAGGATACCAGATGGACAGCAATCCAGACCTCTTTCTTTTACCACTGCTTCACCCAAAGCAGCTCCATGCAATAAACTAGATTCCCAGGTAAGGATTTCTTTGAAGAAACCATTGTGAAGCTTAAAAGAAAACACAGTAAATACCAACCAAACTCTCCCCAGCACTTCATAGAATAACTTGATCTCTATGAGACGAAGCAATCAAAAGATAATGTAAACATGAAGAATTGTCTCACTGAGTTTTGCCTTTCAGCAACTTTTTGTTATTTCTGTTGTTGTTGTTTTGTTTTGTTTGGTACCGGGGATTGAACTCGGGACCTTGTGCTTTCGAGGCAGGTGGCAGAACCACCGAGCTAAATCCCCAGCCCTCAGCAACTTTTTATAAGATCATCACTGATAGATCAATTAAAATTATACATTTTGTACTCCTCTCGACAAAATAAAGACTATTGACTTTAAAATTATGGCCACTGGAGAATCTAAAAGAGAAAACAAGTTGACATCAACATGTAGAGAGTAGAACAGGAGTTATCAAAGGCTAAAGGGGTGGGTGGATGAGGGGGGTTGATGGCCAATATACCAAGATACAATTAGATAGGATGAATAAATTCTGTTATTACACTTCATAGAAGGGCAAGAATAGTCAACAATAATGTGCTGTATATTTCAAATTAGCTAGAAGAGAGAATTTTGAATGCTCTCATTACAAAAAAAGATTAATGTTTGAAGTGATGGCTACATTAATCATACTGATTTCCTCAATACAGTTGTATATTTTTCTTACAAAATGATAATATTATTTTATATGGTTTTTATGTGAACATTTACTACTTAAAATACTGGGAATATTTTTCTATATTATGTATTCTGATTTCATGTTAATGGATGAATGATGTGTATCATAATAAAGTATTATACTCTGTAAACAAATTCTCTATTGATAGAAGTATGGCACAGGGTGTGATGATTCTTTTCGTAGCTCCATATTTCCAAAAATCTTCTTTTCTTACTTTAAATTTATAAATAGAGGATTATTAAGTCAAAAACTAAAGAAATTTTAAATCTTTGGACCTCTTTATAAAAGTACCTGGGTAGACTATTTTGTGGGTTACAAATAACTTCCTCTATTCTGTGAAGAGGATTATATGTCCTATCACTGTTACTTATTATACCTTTTTTGAAGAAGTATTTATTCTTCCCATGTTGATATGGAGTATAAATATATGACTTGTCTTGGGCAATGGCATATAAGAAATTGTGACCTATACCATATTAAAATAAAAGCTTTACAAATGATCATTATTTTGCCTATTCTCTGACATTACAACTACATGTCCCAGCTGAGGGCTGTTCCATCAGCTTGGACTTCATAAGGAAAATAATCCATGCAACGAGGTATGTGGAGTTTAGCACCTACCAACCTACTGTGGTGACCCCTAACCAGTAGACGTAGTCACTACTACAGCAAATAGTAATGGAACACCCCACAAAAGGAGGGATAAGCATACACACACAAGTAAGAAAAATACCTCCCTTGGTGTAAGCTACTGAGATGTGCGGGTTGTTGTGATTAATAGCACCTGACAAATGTTCACTGTGACGACTGTGATGTGAATGGCTGCACTTCCTCGAATTTATCCTGTCTCCATGCTGTTCACTACTCTATCCTACATAGATCCCAAATTTGATTTTGTGTCAATACCGATGATACTACACACACGCACACACACACACACCAACAGGTTATAAAATTATTTATTACTTGGATAAGAAATTTATTGGAAAGGGCCACTTGATCTTCCCATGCTGGTCCAAATGAGCCTGGAGACATCAAGAAAAAGAGACAGACCCAGGGTTTCTAAGGGTGGTCGGAAGGAAGAGCTGAGGTAAAGACACCTGCATGGATACCGGATTCTGTGGTTTGTACTTTCCTGTCTCCACAGGGAAGCACTCAATCTTTCTTATCATCTTTCCTAGACCAGGAGAGTGGTGTAAAAGGAGGATAGTGAGGAGTGGAGTTTAAAAGGGGTGACCACCAAACATCAAAAAGAAGTCAGCTCCTTACTGCACATATTTTTGCAATATGACTATGCAGCTCATCTCATTCAAATGGTTTTTCTACCTCTTTCATTTGGATTGGATTTGTGAAGTTGTCTAGGCAATATAATATGACAGAAGAGATGTTGCAAATTCCAAGCCTAGGTCTCAAGAGGTTTTGCATGCTTCCTCCCACCCTCTTAGAACCTGCCGTTTGAACAGGCTTGTTCTTATCTGTTGCACATACAGAGATAAATCCATTTATCTAGGCAGAAGCCACCATAGTGAACTTATACTTGCCAGGTCCCAGACACACAAGAAAGCACAAATGAGACCAGTGGAGTTTCCTACCCAACTACAGCTGGCCAAATTTGTGACTAAGACTAGCCAAGCCTTGAGCGCCTCAGCTGGTTTGTTGACTTGAGAGGAATAATAAATGCTTATTATTTTAAGCTGATTTTTGTGATGTTTCTTTATCTAGAAAAAGCTAAATTACACACTGTTTAGTATAAATACCTAGACTAACAGTTGTATAAATTTGCACTCCCATTGGTTCTAGAGTAGGATATTTATATCTTCATATCCTTAGCATTTTCTAGACTATTTCTCAATTTACGTGTTTCATAGTTTCTCTTTGGTGAATAATATAAATGCATTGAGGATGAGAGAGACACAGAATATTTGGAATAGATTTTCTTTACTGAATAAAAGGTATTATCTCAATGAGCCTTAGTTATGCAAAGATCAAGCCAAGAGATAAAAAATTTGTATTTGATTTTGTGAGTCTGCTTTGGCCCTTAATATAAAAATTTGGCATATTTATTTCACTGAAGAGTATGGCCTCAATGTGCATCCATTTAGCTATAAATGTCTCTAGTTTTCCACTCTTCATGGCTGACTAGTACTCCATTTTATTAGAAAAACCACATCTTTATGCAGTCTCTAGTTGATGGGCATTTCATACTCTTAAGTGAAATAAATAGGACACATGTGTAAATACTGAATAGCTTTTCTGATGTGAGAAACTGAAAGTGTAAATAAGGATCAAAATGTGTAAGAGATAATGTGAAATGGGAAGAAAAGGTCTAAAGGGGAAGGGGAACTAGGAGGGGTAGAGGAAAGGAAATAAGGGAAAGAAAAAAATATGAGAAAAGGAAAAAATGAAAACAAAGTCTTTGTAAATAGGGAGGTGTGGAGGGGTTGAAGGGAGGGCAGGGGAATGGGGAAAAAATAAGAATCAAAATATATCTTGTAAAGATACAAATTCCTAATGATGAATGTCATTATATTGTGTGCCTAAAATGTACCAATAAACAATGAATAAAAAAAAATTTGACCTTGTATCACCTACCCAATCCCCTACTACACATATTCTCACAGGAGTTGTGGACTAATTTCTCTCTACAAGAGTTACACACATAAAGAAAGGTACTGTACTGAAAACAAAAGCTCTGTTTTAAAGAGTAAATTTAAGGTAAAATCATTAATGTAGACAAGAATTGGACTAAAATCAGATAATGAGAAAATAAATCAAAGCAGAATTCCCAAATTAAAATCTGAAAGAAAGAAAGGAAGGGGAAGTTGAGCTGTGAGTCTAGGCTCAACACAAAGCACTACAAAGTAATTATATAGGAAAAGAGTTCTCTGTCCTCACTTGTGGTTGAGATCTGTCATTTCTTCAATCCAGTTACCCAGGAAGTATATTTTATTTAACATCAAAAGTTGACCCTGTGAGTTAGGAAGTAATACATTGTATAAGCTCATTTACTGTTTCTAATACCACATACTGTGCAAGTTACAAAGAAAAGAGATTGTTATTAGCTCCTGCTCCTGGAGGTTCAGGACCAAGGGGTCACAACTGGTGATGGTCTCTTGCTGGCTAAGTCCTGAGGTTGTGGATCTCTTGGGAGAGACAGGGAGTGCACATGTATGTGTGTATCCCATCTTCTCTCTCCCTTTCTCATAAATCCACCAGTATTCAAACATGGAAGCTCCACCCTGATGACACTTACTAATCCAAATGACTTCCTAAAGGGTCCAACTCTAAATGTCATAATTAGATTAAGTTTTCACCCATGTACCACTTCACAATGCAGACTGAACACCAATAAGTTTTGGACAGGATGAACCATATACAAACCATAGTATATCTATTCCTTTGCAGCCCAAGTAAGATCCATGATGAAGTTTGTAAGAACTGTAGAACCTCATGTATAAACATCAGAGTGAGCAAGACCAGTTTCTCAGAGCTTCAGACAGAGCTGGAATAGTAGTGGTAGACAGAGCATATTATTTATTTATTTGCATGTATATGTGTTTGTTTCCTCATTTAATCAGATCTTTAATAGTTTTATTGTGTTAAGAACATTTAACATGAGATCTAAACTGTTAATTTTTAAGGGCACAGTAAGTATTGTTAATGATAGGCATGATGTTGTACTAAAGATATATATTTCACATAACTGAACTTTATACCCACTGGTTAACAACTCTCCATTTCTCCTTCTCTCACCAGTTGCAGGCAAGCCACTCTCCTACTCTATGCTTCCATAAGTCTGGCAATTTTATGTGCTTGATATAAATGTAAAAATTCATTATTTGTCCTTTTGTGACTGACTTATTTTACTTAGCCCAATGTCACCAAAGTTCATTTCTGTGGTTGATATGGTAGGATTTTCTTCTCTCATAAGGCTAAATAGTATTTCACTGCATATAAATGCCACATTTCTTTTATCTATTTATCTGACAATAATCATTTAGTTTGCTTACACATCTCAGCAATTGCAACCAATGTTGCAATGAATATAAGGTTGCAAATATCTTTTCAATACCCTAATTGAAATTCTTTCAGATCAATACCCAAAAGTGGAATTACTTGGATCTTATAGTAGTTCTATTTTTAAGATTCTGAGGAAGTCCATACTGTCCATAGCTGCTGCACTGCTTTATATTCCCTTCTGCAGACTAGGTTTTTAATTTCTCCACATCTTCACCAATGTTTATTTCTCAGTTTTGTTTTCTTTTTGTGTTAGGCATTCTAGTAGGTGTGAAGTAATACTTTATTTTAGTTTGTATTCACTTCTCCTAAGA